GGTGGCGGGGGGGAAGCCTGGGCAAGACTGGCCCAGCACAGGCGGCCCCATGCCCAGGCTACCAGCCCCTTCCCCAGCATTTCCCCATGGGTGCCTGCACCCCACAGTGGGGAGGCTGCCCCTGTGCCTGTGGCAGTGGCTGGCCGGGTGGGGGTCTGGCCCCCTGCTCGTTTGTACGTGTGTGGTTGGGAGGGGGGAGGCCCTGCACCTAATTATATTAAGAATATTTCTATGTCGTGGCTGTCGTTATTGTGGTGCCTGGACTTCGCCTGCCCCTCGTCTCTGGGGAGGAGCCCAGCGGAGGGGTTGCATGAAGATTGGGATGCTTCAAAGCCTCCTGCCCCCCAGCTTTGGGAGGCATGGCAAAACCAGACCCCCTTGCTTGCCATGCTCTCCTGCCCAGCACAGAGCAGTGCATGGAGCAGAGATGGTCCGGATCTGACTCCATCCCTGCTGAATGCCAGGTCGTGCCTGCAGCATGGGATGTGTGCACCCCACTTCTGTTCATCAGAGCAGGTGAGGGGCTTGCTTACGCTCAGAGTCCTCTCCCCTTTGCCTTAGTTCCCCAGCCCGGCCCCCAGCCATGCATTAATTTCTGGGGATCCCAGTTCTGGTTTTGTTTTCTCTCAGGCCGGTTTTAGCCGCTGCACAGGGCTGTGCTCCCCGAGTGGGGCACCACGATCTGTGTTTTCACTTTGGGACGCCTGGTGTCCACCTTTGTCCGCACTCCTCAGACCAGTTTTTATTATAGAAGAAATTCACTCACAAGTCATTTTCAATTCAGCTTTAGTTAGCAGCAGTAGCCCACAAACGTCTCGAATCCTGGTGCTGTCAGCTGGTGCGAAGCTGTGACCTTTCCATGTAGGGCCACAGCTGCCCCAGACTGGGAAGCCCTCGGCAGCCAGGTCTGGGCCAAGCACCTCTTCTGGCACTGCTGCTGCCCTGGCCATGAGCCCTGGGGTGCCATGAGCATCCCCAAACACACAGGCCACTTCTGCTCTCCCACCACAGTACTGCTGACCTAAGGCTGCATCCAGCACAGGGCCAGCTGGCGGCAGGTCCAGACCCTCATGAGACCCTCATAGGTCCAACACTCGCTCTTCCCTGCAAGGAAGTACCTGGGCCCTCGCATGTCCCCTGCTCCTGCCAAATCAGGGTTGCTCACACCCCTCGTCCTCGTAGGCAATGGCGATCCCTCGTCGGCCCTGCACAGCCTTGGAGATGGGTGTCTGCCCCAGCTGCTGCTCCAGGCCTCGCCAGCTGCGGGACTCCAGGAAGGAGGCTGGGAGGAGAGAGAAAAGCAATCGTTACAGGGAGCAGGGAGGCAGCACTGCCCCTGCCCCGGGGCTCAGCCCCACCATGAAATCGAATCACAAACCAGCAGGGCTGATCTCTGCAAGGGCCCGTGTCTGGTTCCTGCAGGCCAGGGCAGTGGTGGAGGGCAGCTGTGGGGCCGGGGGGTCACAGAGGTGGGTGGCACGCATCTCCCCCGTGATCAGTGAGATGTCAGGAACGGCCTCTGCCGCAGGGATGGCTGGTGGGAGCTCAACGTGCGCACAGGCACCTGATGGGAAATGGTAACGTTAGCCTGGTGCTCATGCGTATCCTCCAGCTGGTACAAAGCTAGCACAACTGCAGCCTCCAGACAGGGGAGCAGGGCAGGACGTGCCCTGGGAAGGTGTTGGGCAGCTGTTTTCCATATGCTACCTGGCAGCAGGTCTCGGAAGTCAGTGAGGTAGTTCCCTGTCCATTCACGGGCAGGGTTACAGGCCAGCTCTAGCTCATAGGGCGTCACAACGGGCCGGTAGAAGTCACTGGAGTCCAGCAGGGAGTTCTGAGCACAGGCCACCAGGACAAAGATGTCCACCTCCAGGAAGTTGGCCAGCTTAGCAGGGTTTGGCTTCCCCACAGCCAGTGTGTAGCTGCGCTTGCCAGCCCGACGCAGAAGCTCGCGGAGGGGGTTGCCCGCCACACCAAGGGTGCCCACCAGGATGCCCACCACACTGGCGTCCCGAGCCCGCTCGACCAGGTAGAGGCGTCGCATCAGGGCCCGGTTGACATTGAGGGTCTCACGGCGGCCACAGCCGGTGGCAGGATTGAAGGAGCTGAAGGGACAGCAGTTCCAGGTCAGCATGAAGTTGGTGAGGGCCAGGCCCTCAGCTCCCACATAGAACATAGCACAGTCCTGCAGCCCTCCAGGTGCCTCCACGGGGAACTGGCGACCAAACTGCCGCACCTCCCCAGGCGGTGCAAGGCCAGGAGGGTCCCCGCACACCACTCTGGAGAAAACGATATTGGGGTACTCAGGGCACAACTGCTGCTCCAGCTCGCCTGAAGAAAGAGAGGAGTAAGAACAAAACATAGCCACAGACCTGACCTGCAGAAGGTGAGACAGCACATTAGGGGA